TAGTCAAGACTCCATACCTTGCCTGCCTTACCTAGCCTAGTCTGCTAGAGTCAGTGGACCTGAACACAAAAAGCTGGGGTTGGCAACTGAGAACATATTCGAGAACCGTCACAAGTCTTCTGCAGTATGCAGTACTCATATCAAAAACATCTGGGCTTGACCAAGTAGCTGTCTTGCCCTTCAACTTGCCCTTCAACCCAAAAGGCAGCCCGCGGTGGACGTCTTTGAACATCGCATGCTCAGGGCATCCTCGCTTTCAAACGATGTGACGCTAGGCTCCCACACACTGTTATTTGGATCCTTTGCCCTTACACTGGAGCCTGCGTGAAGCGATCGTGAAACCCACCTATCATGATTGCTAACATATCATCAGCCTCAGGGCTGAGATGGATATTCTTTGAAGATTGCCAGGATCATGACACAAACACACCAAAAAATACAAAGAAATATATGCAGCGCGACTCCGTGAATGAGCTCTCCACGTGTTTAGGCTGTGGGGGTCGTGGCAGGCACATAATTACAAAAAACATATGTGTATTTCAATAAGGGAGACCCCCAACCAATGGGATGTTGGTTTGTTTCCCTTCTTTCAGGGGGTACTTGGACATCATCGTGACCATGACTTCTCGGTCCTGTTCCAGTGAGAAGCTTTCCACCTGCCATGATGGAGGTCTGCATGCTGTGGCTCTCAGACTTGCTGCAAGGCTCTCCATCCTTCCGCGAGCGAAAGCTGGACACATTGCCCAGCTGAGCTCCGCGCAAGCAGGGGGGCATGTAAGGTGCACTGGGCAGCAAATAGTAGCGATACTCACCCGTGAGCTCGTCAAAAGCACCGTGGCACTCATCCAAGAGCTTCTTCTCAGTTCTCACGCCACCTGGTCATGGAAGTTGAGAAAATAGGGCACTTGAGGAGTCCAACTGGATCTTGACCTACGAACAAACTGCAAGCTGGTGAAAAGCCAATATAGGATCCTGCGAGGCTTCCCGTCGAAGACAGGAAACACAAAGCAGACATCGGCAGAATGGAGGGGGGGACCTTTTCTGGAACAATTCTTCTTCATTTGGCAGTTTTCTATCTTCTTCATGACTCCGGATCATTCAGGTGACTTCTTCTAAGACGAACGACATGGCGCCAGCCCCCGCGGCCTTTGAAGGGGCCCATGATCGGTGCTCCATCGAGAGCCCAGCCGATCTGGACCTCAGGGCCATGCTCCGGCCAGGCGGCCGCCCCGGCGCTCTTCCACCAGGCGCTCTTCTTGGGGACAGGGACGCCCAAGGACTTCAAGAGGCAAAGAGGTGGCGCGTGGTAGTGGTAATGACCTGAGATTTCCGGGAATTGGTCAAAAACCACAGGAAGTGTCACAAAATCCTCCACATACATGCCAAGTCGTTACAACAAACATGAAGAATGTGATTTTTTGTTATTCTATGCGATTGGCCATCAAGAAAGAGATACTACATACACAAAATCCTCAAGACAAGCAATCTCAGGTGACCGTAAGTGTCGCCATGACCACCACAGTTGTCAAAAAGCCACGTCATTCCCTCCTGAAAACGCAAAGCAACATCACTCAAAAGAAACACAGAAAGATCCAACAACATCCAACAACCACAATGAAGCAAACATACATAGATAGAATAATGCGGTCCCCCCAAATAGATCAGAAAACTCCTTCGAAAAGTCTTGGGGCACTATTACGGCGCTATTCGATCTAATTACTTAATTTCTCCAAAATAAGCCCTTCCTTTCCTCCCCGCCGTGTGCGGCATGCCACTTCAAACCAAACATGTTTGTGGGCTCCTGTGACTCCTGTCTATAGTTGGATTTCAATTATGCTGTGGTCATGTTCTGGGGTCACACCAACGCATACACCTCAACACATCCCTGGCCGCTGGACCCACGGAATCCACAGTCGAAACATCGACGCGGTCGACCGTAAAGGCCCTGGGCAGCCTGTGCCCGGGCTGAAGGTGGACTCATCGGTGGGTTGATGCGACCCACGGGATGCGACCGTGTCCGTGAGTCCGTGGGTGAACACTTCTCCTCCGGATGCTCGTTGACGAAGAGCACGGAGTTCATGGCCACACCCACCACTCCGCCCACCTGCGAGCCGGTGCTGATGAATGTGGTCGAAGGCTCTGCCAATTGGCCCATAGTTTCAGGGGTGGATTCTTAGAATCGATAAAATCACATGAACATCATGCTCAGATCCATTCAGATCCTGTGAATTTCGGAGCATCGCAGTACCACCGAAACGACCCAGTGCCAGTGCCAAGCCGATTTGGACCACCAATCCTGGTCGAGCTTGTGGGCCGCGCCCGGCGTGGTGAAGGGCTTCGGCAGCTGGATTTTCAGGTCGCGCACCCGCGGGATGAAGGGATTCCTCAGGAAGGACATTGGAAGGACTGAAGGAAAAAGCATAGAAGGTTTGAAAGACTGGAAGGCATTATGACCTGGGAAGAGTCTCTAGGGTTGGAAGAAAATCTTGAATGATCTAAACAGATATATGGGTGATCATTATCACTACAAAAGAAAACGTCCAGAACTGAGAAAAAACGAGAAACGTCTCATACTGTTTGGGCTCACCCTATATTGTTTCAGAGTTGCCAGCAACGTGGCCTCCACCCCGTTTCTGCTCCTTTCGTCCGTTTCTGCTCGCCCGGTGGCTCTGTCTTCGGTGCTGAGAGGCGCCTCGTTCCGCAGCCGCAGCCACAGCCGGTGCCACAGGTCATAGGGCAGTCGGGCAGATCCGTGCCCTGATGATGTCCAAAGGTGAAGACATCCTGAAGGGATCACTGGTGACCGAAGCAAAACGAAGGATACGAAAGAAACGGCTCAACATTGATGAAGGAACTGAATCATCTGTTGAGATATCATGGCCTGTAGTGAAAAGCCCATGAATGAAAGTTTGTTCCAAGTTCCAACAAAATGTTCTGAGTTACGATGGTTTATGATGGGTTTATGACCCCAAGTCCGTTCATGGACTGAAGCTTTACTATGGTCCATGGTGGATATGCATCTTCCATGTGATACAGCCGTTGGGAAGGCAAATGAAGGCAGTCTGAGACAGACTTTGGAGCGCCCTCTCGGCCGAGGCACTGCCCCCGCCATCTGGGCCGCGTCCTGTCGCGTCGGAGCCCCCGGCACTGTCCCCCGGCAGTGTCCGACGTTGGATCAGAACAAAGCCTGATAAGGGTGATAGCTTGGCCGTGCTAGGGGACCAGGACAAAGAAACAATGACAAACAAATACTAAAAGGCTCTCTTCTTCGGAACACCACAGTTGTCATGTCTCAAAGTGATGCTGGGACCCCCACTGTGAGTTTACAATGAATTTCTCTTTCTAGGGGTGGCGAGTGGTGGCAGCCTCTTTCGAGACACGTGTTCCAAACATGATACAATTACTACTCTTCCTCCACGAAGCATAAGCTTCCCAGGAGTAGGTTTCAGGGCCAATGTCTGTTCCGGGGAAGGAATGGCCATTGGGAATATCGGCCCCATCATGCATGCTAGAGGCTGCCGAGTGACCAGTGCTAGATTTCAGCGGATCCACAAAAAGACTATGCAAAGGCGTAGTGGCAGTGGCAAACAAACCGCGAACCCTTTCGAAAGTTCTTTTAGCCCATATTGGCCCCACAAACTACCTTGTCGATTGCAAGCAGCTGGTGGTGGCAAATCCACTTGAGCGAAGCGTCACACCCCAAGCAATTCTCGTCCACAAAAAGGACCCTTTCGGCATCGGAGCCACGTTCGGACATTGCGCGGGAGTCCCGTTCGGTGGTTGTCAACCCCCCAGCGGTCGGATTCCCCTGGGCAGCTCCGTGAATTTCACCCGTCCGCTCCTTGTTGAATCCAAAGCCACACCACATATCCTCTGGGCAGTCCCCGGTGACGTGGAGCTCGTTGTCATGGGCGTGGATGGTCCAAGTGGAACCCAGGTGTTCGAAGGTGAGGGTGGCGCTCACCGCGCTGCCTGGGTCGAGTCACCGCGCTCCTCCCTGGTTGGAGGCTTCCAGGTTGGAGGCCATCGCTATTTGGGTTGAAAATTCATCGCGTGGCGCCTGCCTACCCCCTCCGCTGCCATGGCCCAGTATGGCTGAGTGATGCCGTTTGTGCGTGTCCCCCTGTGGATGTTACAGTATCTTATGTCACCTTAAATGCCGACGTCTTGAGGTGCAAAAAGGAGCTGCTGTAGATTGCCTGAAGCTTGGAAAACTACGGATTCCCTTTTGACATCTTTTGACATCTTTTTGACGATGGGGGTTGTTGTATTCCGTTGAGACATGTTGAAACTAGATGAAGCTATACTATAAAGTCACTGAGATGCTTTTTTTTTTGCGGAGGTTTTAACCTTACATAAATGTTAGATATATATATATACTGTACAGTATAATAAGAAAGCTTTCTATTGAGCACCTTCCAGGCTGAGTACCTCAAAGACATCACTCATCACAATTCCAAGTTGCACAGGGTGAACCATAAGGCCAAGCGCGACATGGCACGATCCAGTGTCACTGATCGGAGAGCCAACAACTTTTGGAGCCAAAAACGCTACCGGGTCACCGGCGGAAATGGACCCTGACATTCCGAAAAGCACTAGCTGGAGTTGCCACATGTTTCATGGATTTTCATGGTTTCAAAAGTCTTCAACAAAGGTCTCAAACATCTTGAAGTCGATGAACAAATCAGTAGCGTCCAACATCAAAGCACACCTGATAAAGGGTAGGTGTACAACAATGCAAGCAGTGCGCTTTTACGGCCGATGACCTGAACCCGTCCATCATCTCACTGAGAAGAACGGTGGGTGTGCAGTCCGATGACATGATCGTTCGCCATCAAACATGATCAAACATGAACGGCAAAGGACCGAACCCATCTAAACACATTCAATAGGAAGAGGCTCTTCTTCACCCTCGGTTTTCCACCTTTATCCTTCACAAGCCTCGATGTTTCAACCGAACCCAGGATCCGGCGCTCGCTTCAACGCTTGGGCGGCCGAACCCGTTCCAAGGCCGGCATCAAGAAGCGCTTCCCATCGATGCGGGCGAGGACTGGAGTTTCCGAACGATGCACCGGCTAGGGTTCGGTGCAGCGCGAATGAGATTTGGCTGAATTTGGTCCAGTCGAAATTCCACGATGCAACATCAGAACTCGGGCTGACTGATCCTTGGTCTCAAAGATTTACACACCAAGAGCATCCAAGAGCTAAGGCAATCAAACTATATCAAACTGATCTGCCACTGTAGTTCTCATTTGCAACTTCAATCAGGGGAAGAAACAAACACGGCCCGCGCATGATGTATTGTTGTGCCACTCTCGCTTGTGCCTCTCAACGCCAACAATGGCAAATCAGCACTGAAGCAATATTCGAGTAGTTCCTGGCACGTCACCAATACGAGTTGGTCTCCGATCGGTTTGTTGGCTCTGTTGTTTGGCGTTGAGATGAGGACTTCTACTGGATTCAATCTTAATCTTTACCCCTGAATGTTCGGGGCACGTCTTAGTTTCATGATCCTTCGATTTCCGCTGGATATGCCCAAGAGTGCAGTGCAAGACAACGCCATCAACAATCAACCACCATCAACAACCTGTATTCCTGCCAATAGCGGCCTCTGCCATCTTCTTGGGAATAGGCAAGCCTGCCACACACTTTCAAACACGTGGCAGCATCAACATTGACATACTAGAGGGATCCAAAGGGTTGTTGGCACTTGAATCATCTTGAATCATTAGAAGAAACACTGCGATGCCGGGTGTCCTGAGCATGTATATTACACTGCCAAGCCTGGTGTCTGAGATTGTCTGAGTGTTTTATTGAAAGGCCAAATGCGAACAAAAAGGAACGACCGTAGACAGTATACATAGACCACAGGCCCCTCCAATTAGTGTGCAAACGGTATGACTACACCCAGTATACATCACTAATTCGAGTGACTTTGTCCCTCACCAACGACGGTAGGAACGACCTGGTGCTGCTCACGACTGGCCTCGAGACAATGCCCCGGCCGCAATATCCGGTAGATCGCGCCCTGCGGTGATCAGCTTCGCAATGTTCAAACATTTGTTGACAAGAGTAACATAGAGTAACGATCTTACTGTTTTATACGGTTTTCATATTATTCTTTTTAGAATCACGGTAATCTACGATTTCACTTGAAAGGTCTAGATCTTGTTATCCAGGTCCTTCCATTCTTAAACTAGCATGTCCATCTGGGCAGTCTGGATGCTAACTTGCAGAAAATCTGCTACCAGTAGTGTGGATGAAACAGGATCTAAATCAAATTCAATTCAACATGCACCGTCAACGATGTTTTCGCGCTTCATTTAGACAGGGTGGCTTCAGGGGCTTCTTTGAAGCTGAGACACAGCTATGCGATGTCATACTAGCAACTATAGTTCAAACTCTCTCATATATGTATATGTATATATATAACATTACATATTATATATACTGTATATAACTTATCAAACTAAGTACATTAACATATAACACAATAACTGGCAGCTAGCAACTTAGCCCCAAACCAAGTTCCACTCACCATGCCAAAAAAATGCACCATGCCAGAACTCCCAGGTAACACAAAGCTCACAGCTCTGGACATCTTCTGGACCTCAGCTTTCGGCTCGCGCGCGCCGGCGGCACGGCACGCCCGCCCGTCGCACCTTCGGCCGATCGCGCGACTTCGGCCCAGGCGGTCTCGTCGCCGCGGAGGATCCTGCGACAGGTGACCCTAAAGAGATGCGATCTCAAAACCAAAGAGATGGAGTTAATTACATTGTAAACACAAACAACATATACATGCAGTTGTCTTCAGAATCTATTCTTGCATCGCAGCTCCCCCACTTCAAAGCACCTCTTCCACAGCTGTTCTGTGTATTCCTTGTCTTAATGTCCGAACCGGATTTTCACATTCCAGGAACCCAGGCAAGAACTGCAAAAAGAACGTGAAAAAAAACTATCCATGATAATGGTCGCTATATATCGCTATCAATCGGTGTATCTCCAAGAGATCGCGACTTGTTCTTTTTCGAGCGGAGATTTGGCATGACCATGAATGACCGTGAATTTGCACATGTCTCAAAAGAGACACCCTTAAACCACTGACGACCACTGGGTCTGAGTAAATACACGTAAACACGCACAAACAAAAGCGCCGTGTTCGACTCCCGTTTCACCCAAACATCGACCCCCAACGACCAACGATAAACCCTACTATGGAACTACACCGTACCAAAAACCTCAAAATAGTAAGTATAATATGTAATAGTAAGTATATGTAAGTATACTATTTTGAGATTTTTGAGGTGGTTGAAGTAAAAACCAATGAACATATTCATGCTAATAATGCTGCGTATTGGGTTGGAGGCCATCGGCAAGTGAACTTTATGAGCTCAGAGACCGTGTCGTCCAAACCACTGGACCTGAATCTGAGCTGGGCATTGAGGCCCTTGAGCATGCCGCAGGGATCCTGCGAGCGACCAGCGGGACCAGCGGTGTTTGAAGAAGCAGACTGCCGTAAAAGCATGGCTCCAAACAAATACAACCTTAGTGGGATAATCGTCTGCTGAGCAAGCTTTGTCATGTACCCACATACCATGGACAAACCGATTTTTTGCCTCCTGACCATATGCGGTTTAAGGCAAGTGATCCAGCTGAACGCAACCTTTTTGACGTTTTCACCACCCAAAAAGCTTGGTCGCTCCGCGACCATCCGCGACCGTTTCGGCGGACCGAAGCACATTCTCGGCGGACCGTGGCAGCAACAGCAGCACAGCATCTAAACCTCTCCCAACCACAACACGGTTTAACACGACAAGCTTTTGCAACCACTATAACATACCTATATTTGTACCTATATATAATTAATATACTATAACCACTATAACTAATAAACCTTCATGAACCACCAAAGAAGCGCATCCTAGCGGCATCTAGCGGTTAGGCACCCCCCAAAACCTGGCATGAAGTCCTTAACTAACTGTCAATGCTACATTTTCCTTCAACAGATTGTTGCAGGTTCCACCCACCAGCTTTGGGCTGCATCTCCACCCACCGGAATGAGCAAATCGATCCCATGGATCTCCCATGGAGTTGACTCCCCTCCGGAAGACCCGCAGCGACGGATCCATCAACTCCTCCCGCAAGATCGCAGCGGTGTAGGGAGACAAGCCATCATCAGACAGAGCTCGTGGGTCGGCCTAATAGGATCGGTGCGCACCACCGTGTGGCTGGAAAAAACCTTTCCCTGAACCCACGGCGAGCAAACGTTGGGGCGAGTACGGATGGTTCCGTGGTGCAAACGCGGGAGTGACACATGTACCATCCAAGGAAGATGTGGCGGACCCTGGATGGTCATACCATTATCATATATACCATGTCATGAACATCCAAGAAACGTAACCTTGCGAGATTTGCGGTGGATACTTTTTCACCTTCTACAATCTTTGCCTTCTGAACTAGCTTCTGAAGCTCTCCCATCAAAGCATACATACAGTCTTCAAACTATTGGCAGGCTCGAAAGCATCTTCAATTGAAGCGTTCGAAGCCGCTCTCGGAAAGAAGAGTATCATTATGCAATAGGCAGAGGCAAAAATTGCTGTAGACTTGGGAATTGTGCTTTGCATCTGGTTCCCTCGTCTGTGAATGATGTACAGGTCCCAATCAGGTCCCAATCAGGTCCAGGGCGATCAAAGATCATCGTGCCATGGCTTTTAGAGCTTCAGAACATTTGTGCCAGCAGCAACACCCATGGCATGATCTGCGACATGGCCGCGCTGACAGCGGACCCGGGTGCAAACGCAAAGGCCGAGCGGTTGAAGGGACGGATGGCGCCGGCCTCGAAGACCTAGCGATGGCCGCATACGGACGCCCACAGTCTCGTGTGACGTGACCGGTGAACCAAGTGAAAAGGAACTGTTTTTCACCCGGTGCGGCGCCATGTGGCGCTGCATGGATTCCAGTGTTTGCTATGGACCTTGTTTCTCTCTTTTTTTTGGACCTTGTTCACCGCCAAGGCCGAACACAAGTGTCCAACCAAGGCTCCGGAAAGGAAAAACCGGCCCGAGCCAAGGAAGAATTCGACGTTTGCTTCCCACCTGGACTGGTGTGGTGGCAAAGTCGCCGCCCAGCCGGGAGCCTAGTCCGCCATGCGCGTCATGCCCCACGGCCCAAAGGCTTTGATCCTCATAGAGCAGCAAGCTGTGTGCCAAGCCCCCAGCCATCACCTGGCGCGGCAAGTAGGGCTGATTTCTTCGGAACTGGAGGTGGGCAAATCACCCATCCTGCTGCAGTTCGGAGTAAACATGACCAACTGGGACCACAACTTATGGCACCCTCCCAAAAAAATCCGCCTGAAGACCATACAGGACACTATCCAATCGAAGATGTCTGCCATGCCTAGGTATATATGGCAAATAATATATATATAATATATATATACACTGTATATGTATAATATATATATATGGTGGTTGATCAATATTCTTTCATCCTGGAATGGCCATTCATCCTGTTTCTTTCGCGGATCTTTCGCGGCCTCATCGCGAAGCATGGTCCTACAACCGTCTCTAGCTAACATGAGCCGGAACATGTCATAGTATCACAAAATAGGGAGGGACATCTTGCAGCATGACCCCAGTAGATGGTTGCCCGTTTCCACAGCTACTCAGGGTCACTTGCAGCATCTGTTCGACAATTGTGCCAAATAGAGTCAGGCACAACTCAACCCACCAACACAGGGTGATGCAGCTTGGGGAATATTGGGGGGCCTCAAGCTGGGAACCTAGACTTTAGCGGCACATCCGCGAAGCTTTCGCGGATCTTTCGCGAAATTTCACTGGTGCTTTCCCCGGGAAGCCGTAACATTTGCAAACATCTGCACAGCCCGTCAGAGCAGCTGCAGGTCGTTGCCTCACTGTCAGGGCTGTGCCTACCCAGATTGCTAGTCTGTGACAGTGTCGGAGAATCCTTTACGCACTGCCAGGGCTGGGCACAGAAATGTTGAGGCTTCAGTTCGTTAGTCTGTGACATATGGGGACACTTCCGCCCACTGGCTCTGCCGGAGGATTGCCTTGCGTTTCTATTCTTTGTCAGTCCGGTAGAAAGGAAAACAATGAAAGCGATGACCTTCGATAAATCTTTCGCGGATGGTTCTAACAACATCTGAAAGGCTGTTTTGTATAAAACTCCTTACACGGGGTTTTCGATCAACTCCCATATATATTGTGGGTCAAACATGGTCCAAGCCCCGTACCCGCGGCACATGGCTAAAACGCATCCCACATGAAAGCGAATGCTAGGTTTTGAGGGTTCGACCCACCCTGACCCGTCTTTTGCACGTTTTCCTTGTCCTTTTTCCGTCTAATTTAGATGTTTAGACTCCACACACCTGTCATTGTTTATGTGTTCTGTCATTTCTTCCTCTTTGCCTCACATGCTTCACAGATCTTCACAGCACTTGCAATATGCTGGTTTGCTGGTGACCCAGCCAGCCCCACGCCTCCACAGGCCAAGGCAGTTGTGTATCCCGGCCGGGCCGGCTGCGATCAAACCGGTCACCCAATGCCAACTGCCCAGCACCATTCAGGCCCCAAGCATAGACAATCCCATGGTTCCGGGTCATGATCCTACGCAAGGCGAGATGTGAGTCTTGTGAGTCTTGTGAGTCCTACCCCTTTGACGCCAGTTTTGGCTTGGCCTTGTGACCTGTTTTACCGCCTTTTTGTGGGCAAAAGGACACTGAAAAGGTGGCTGAACAGGATCGGTGATCCATTTGGTTCCCACACCGACCAGACCGGTGTCTGGGTTCGCCAACCGACTGATCTCTGTGGGGGCAGCGCGGTCTTCCACATCACCGAGCCCCAGCTGCCCTTTGTCATTGGAACCCCAGCCGAAGAGGAAACCGTCGTAGACGGCGAAGCTGGTTTCATCCATAGCTGCAATAGATGTGACACCACTGGCGAGAATCTGAACCTTGGCTGCCAAGGGTATCTCAAGTACAGTAAAATACAAGCTCTGGCGAAGCTCAATATCATATCCCACCAGGTCAAATTCAAGGTCAACTGCCCCGGCTGTCGATCAAACAAAGGATTAACGGATTCACCACAACAAGACGATCAAACGAGCGCCCAGCTGCCGGAGTGTGGCTCCCATGGTCAGCTTGCCCAGTGCCCATCTGTCCTTTCCCGTTGGTGCCCCACGCCCATAGGCTTTGATCAGCCCTGAGGGCTAAGCTATGAAGGAAGCCTGCTGCCACGGCTACGACCCCATTCAAGTCCACTTGAGCTGGACTGGAGCCACTTCCACTCCTCCATGCGCGTCGCCCCAGTACGGCATCGGTCGACGGCGTGAGACGAAGAGTACGACGAGCGAACGGACACTGTTTGTGCAGATTCTATCCTTGAACAGAATGCTCCTGCTCAGTACTCTTTGCCTCAAAGTTGGGGGGTTCGTCAGTTGTCAACAGCTGTAGATTCAGCCAAACACAAGCCCAGATTGTTTTTGTTCTTCCATTCTCCTTGATCGGGTGGCTTCCGGATGCAACATCTTCCAAATTGCTTCTTCAGTGTCTGCGTTTCTTGATGCTTCACGACACTAATTTGGAGCTCTTTGCTCAGGGAGATCCCTTGGCTCACTCTTTGAAGCCAATCCAATCCAAACATGTTCAACAAACCATGTTTGTCTACAGAAATAAAACCAAACCCTGCCCAGACAACATCAACTCAGACAACCAAACCGCCACATTGTGTGGTGGTTTGCTTGTTCATCCAACAGTCCATCAATGTCCGCAATGTCCGGAGTTGTTTTGGGGATTCAAACATGTTATATTCTAATTGAACAATCTAGCTATTTTACATCTATTTATATTAATTACTATATGTATTACTTACAGTTACAGTTAGAGATCCTTATACCTCTGGGCCTCTCAGCCTCCAAAACCCAACCTGGCAAGATCTTCACCTCCCATCACCCCCTCGGCCCCTGAACCTGCCTCCGTCCACCCGTCCGGGCTCCGGTGGCTCCGTTGGCTCCGTATGCACACCAACAAAGACAAATCTCAACAACTGTCCCATCCCCCAGCAGCTTCCTTCAGCACCTTGAACTTAAACTCGGAGCCCCAGACAAACCCGAAACCGCACGGCGGAAGCCGCAGGGCGCCGTCCGCACTCCTCCCCAGCTGTCCGTTGGAATTCCATCCCCAGCTGTAAAGCTGGCCATGGACCACCGCCAGGTTGTGCCGTGCCCCACTCGCCACCTGGGTGGCGCCGGAGGCAAAGAGCTCGTGTGGCAAAGCGAGGCTCTGAACCTCGTCGCCTGCGATCGGAAGAAGCTGCACAGGATAGGAAAAGAATAGAATAGAATAAGTGAAGGGTCGATTTCAGGGTGTGAAGACTGTGAAGATGGTGAATGCTCAAAACTCGGGAATTCCAGTGCCATCCAGTGCCTGCATAAAAAGATTACTAACATGATTAAACAATTCCCCTCCACAAATATCTTAGTTTGTGCGACTGCTCTTGCTCTCTTCTTGTGGGTGCCGATAGGGCATTTGGTTTGCCTTATGTTCAAGTCTCATGGTTGTCACACTGTTTCCAAAGTTACTAACAACTAAAGGGCATCGCTACTAAGAGCAAGGACGCTACTAGTAGCTCCTGGCCTTACTACTAGTAGCAAGAAGCTACTAGCTTGTTGCTACTAGTAGAAATGCACTTGTTACAAGCAGCGATGCACTTGCTACTAGTAGCAAGAAGCTACAGGGGATTCAATTTGATGCTCTTTCCACTCCTGTTTCGACCGCGCTGTCTTTACGCACGTCGACCATCGTGGACGTGTCGTTCCGGTCGTTCCGAGTTCCGTGCTCTTCCCACCGTCGGTGGGCGGCACGCCGAGAACCGTCTCAGTGGGTCAGGCGCCGGGTTCGCCAGGGCAACAGCAAAGTGCACTTGCATTGGCTGGACAGTAAGGCTGAATCCTCCCGCTTGATTTTGGATCATGCCTCCTTCTCAAGAGCTGAAAAGCCCAACTAGGGACCAACATGTGCTACATGATCTACGTGATGCAGATCTGCACCTGCTCATCACACCCCATGGTCCATCGTATGATGATTGATCATCACTTTGATCATCATATCATATCTCATGCGTCTGGCAACCAATCGTCTAGCATCTAAGGTCCTCCATTGCAGTTCTGAATTGGCTCTTCTTCTGCACCTCCGCCATCTTTTCAACCGCGCCCCTCTTTCGTGTTCCCAACCAAACCACCAGCTCCCTCTCCGCATCTCTCCGCCGTCCCGGCGCCTGCGCCCAGCTGACCATTTTGATTCGATCCCCAGGTCCACAAGCGTCCCGACTCATCGATGGCCACGGCGTGATGGCGTCCGGCGGTGATGGCCGTGGCCCGCAGATTCAGCTTGCTGGGAATGAGCCGGTCCTCCTCATCCCCCAAGCCCAGCTTGCCAAACCTCGAGTTGAGCGGTGCCGAGACGGGAAGGGAGCTGTTTTGCTGGGTCAGCTACAAGCGATACTTGGCAGCTACATGGCGCTGGGGAACGAAGAAACCGATCGATATACTCGTAGCCTCCAAGGTTGACAATCGAAAAAAACTAAACAACTCCTAAGAAACACGTATCGCCCTGGCATACGCAGCCAATGTGCTTAGCTTCACAGGTAAAAAGCTGTGAATATCTGTTGCTGAGCAAAGTTGTCTTGCAGCGCGGCCAGCAAAGAGAAACGTACTATCCCTGGTGTTATCAAGCAGCAAGCAGTTGCTGATGAATCTGTGTCTGGATATAATTCGGGACGTTTACCCTTTCCGTTCGCAAAAGCTTTAGTCTGTTCATTAAGGTCTGGAGCCACATCCAAATTTCTGAGTGTTTGGGCCTGTTTGGATAATCTTTAAGCTGTTCCAAACCCACCTTGAAGGTGAAGCTCTTGGAACTATGCCCGGGGTCACCAAAAACACCGAGGCTTACTTAGGCCACTCTGAGTCGGATGCATGTGCGAGGCACAGGTTCCCCAGGTCACATCGAGAAAAACAGGTGTAGTCATTTTCGACCATGCGAACATGCACAAATATGCGCTCGCTCCCCGCAAAATCCACATCTTCTCTATAACATGTCCAAGGCGGCCCGTTGCCATACTAGCGCTGGGGTTTAGTCACCCGGGTTTGCAGAAAGTCACCCGGCCGCATGGAAACGCGGCATTAGTCAAAAGTCACCCGGCTGGCGAAAAGTCACCCGCTTTATAAGACACAATGTAAACGCTCTACGGAAGTATGTTTGTCAAAACTGCTATACATCAAGAATTCACTGCCCCTGTGCAGGAAAGAACTAGTTTTATGTCGAAGTTTGCAGCGTTTTGGTGACCGAACCCCAATCAGAACGTAAGGTTAGGACTATCGTGAAGATTAGCCCCTAAACGTAGATGCTCTGGCCCGGCTCAATTGGATTTGAATGAGTCAGCGATTCCAACAGTCACCGGTCTGGCTAGATTGACTTAAACATATGCTGTGTAAAACCATTTTTTTCGTCGGAACTACACTGGCGCGAGTGCTGTGCGAGTCTTTTCAATCCTGACGCGAGTGCCGCGCGAGTCGAGGTATCCACCTACCCACGTCGATTATCTTCAAATCACTTTTTGGTCACCTTCCCTCTAACCTGCATGGAAACGCAGCATCCAAACAATGTTGTTGACCTAATGCTCTTCCAGTTATATTGCCATCTTGCATCTAACCCCAATGGAAACGCAACATCCAGACGACTTTCTACAAGACCAGACGACTTAACACAAGTGCTTGTAGCTTTTTAGGCCGGTCCGGTTGCGATCCCTAACTCGATCTTATTCGATCTTAGCCCTGCTGAATGGGCAATAGGCACTCTTGGAAGGCACCTATCAGAAAAGCTTTGTGATCCATTCACTGCCCTTTTGAGCTTGGTACAAAACAATTGAGCAGGGATTTTTTTAAAAGATGTGGTGGTGTTATCATCCTTGGGTGCCTACGTAGAACCCTACGGTTTGGCTACGTTTCCACAGTGAAAGCCTACGGCAGACATGGCTTATTCCACATCGCCTACGGGAAATCTACGAACGTGAGGTTTTGGAGCATTACTGCTCCAATTTGCCTACGGTACCATGCAGTTCTTGCGAGTGGAAACGTTTATGCAGCAGCTGACCCTTTATCTTTCAGATGATGAGCTTGACACTCTACGATGGGCAAGTTGGTTTCATTGGCTATGTGCTCCACAACGGAAGACAAGCAAGCAACGACTTCACGCTCATCATGAGTTTTGGACATTACTTCGGAGGTGCACTGACGCGTATAGTCTCCCCATGTCTTCGACATTGGGAATACTTCTCAGAACAGCAGGTTTTAACATCTATTTGAGAGTACTATTATAGGCAAGCGGACATGGGGGAAGGATCAACAAACTCATTTTCGCCTACGGTGCCTGTGAAAATGTCCCCAGGAAAACAACACAAAAGAGTTGTTTGGGACATTGTTGGGAGTTCTCACCTCTTACACAGAAACAGTGGCCTTTCTAACCTCCCGGGTAGTCTTGGCAGTGTGGTTGCATTGCAATGTCTTGCGTTTTTCTCTGGTGGTCATTCTAGGTGCCCTTGCAAACTGCCCCTTGAGATGAAAGACATCTGCTACAAGAAACTGAAACAAATAAAACACTGTCAATTCTAATTTGAATCAGAAACGCAAGCTGGGTGACTTCAAGGCATGCTATTTCAGTCGATTTCGGAAGCACGTTGCCTACGCCAGCCTTTTGAAGGTTACATCTTGTATAAACCCTTTCATGTCGAAAAAAATCTCAGCTCAATTGAGCCTGCTTGCTACTCGCTTCGCGATGTTTCAACTTGTTGCCTGTTCCTGACACCTTCGCAAACTTCCTCAAACACCTCCCTTGACCTCCACACCACACAAGGGAAGCCTTTCCCAAATGAGAAGAACTCTTCAGGGAATACAACACACTTTAGGTTCGCATGAAGACAAAAACAGAATACAAAACACGCACATATATCAAACCCTTCTCCAAGGCACTCATTCTTCCCCCAGCCATAGAGCTCCCCATCAGCTCCAATGGCAAAGCTGCAGTAGGCCCCCGCGGCAATGGAGGCTTGTCCCGGCTGACCTCTTGCTTGACCTCCATTGTTGCAAGCGAAACATGAAGGTTTGGGACCCATGATGACCCGTGGTGACCCAGATGGACTCACCCAGAGCAAATAGCTGGCTGACAGTCGACCTTGCTCATTGTGCTCATTACCCCTTGGAGGTGGGAACAAAAACGTTCACTGTGAAAAGCCGATCCTACATAACATCTCGCATCTCAGTCAGATGAGATGAGCAAGGATGAGGCACAAAAGTCTGGCTATGGCTCCACAATTGACTCCACTCCCCCGGGTCTCTGCCAGTCAACATAAGCTCGTATGTGTTTCATGACCAGTAAACGACCTGTCCACGTATATAGTGTGTTGGCAGCTGTCTGGGTCGATGCGTGATCGGCTTCGAGCAGCGGATGGCCCCTTCCACGCCTCGTCCTCCATCACCGGGGCCATCTCCCAGGCAGCTCCGCAGCAGCCAGGCAGCGATGGAAGGCCACAGCCAAACCGCCATCAGCGCTGTGGCACGCAGTGGTGCCCCATGGTGCCCCAAACAAACTAAGCTCAAGGACTATTGAGGCCCCTGTCTCTTCATTGCAAGATCACAAACCTTCATCAGTGGCTTGCGGAGTTGGTAGCCCATGATTCTATGATTAGTTACTTATCTGAACAATTCAGAACAGGTTCATCTCCTGGCGCATGGCATTCTTATTCATCATGACCATCATTTTCCCGCTCGAGCCACTCCAGACTCCAGATGGGTCCAGACTTGTCTCATGGTCAACCTTGCCAGGTTTTCAACATGGCTTACTGGAAGTGGTGATGTGACCACCGACCACAGGAGAGCTCTGCTTTCACGTTCACCACTTGAATCATTACGCGTGTATTCATACACCACTCGGTCACGAGATGGAGCACTGGGTACGGGTCCAACTGAATTAGCTGGAGACCCCTGAGATGTCATTGCGGTCATTGTCTCCCCAATGTCATGCTTCCAGCGTCGGTGGAGACAGGATCTGTGAGAGTGATTTCCTAAATATCTAATTCACTCTAATTCAATACTGTACATGGGTTTGCCCCAAAACAGTGGGACCGCAACCAGCCAACTATACCCAAATCATTGCAATTGTAGTGATGAATACTGAGATCTGCGATACGCATTGCATCCCGTCCCCCATTGGTTGATGACCTTTTACCATCGGTCGGGGAAAGACAAGTCTAAAATAGGGCAACTAGCAAACAGAGATTGGGGGTGTCCTCGCGTTTAAGACAGGACATGATCACGTGAACTTGTGAAGGTATCCTACGCTTTCAGAAGGGGCTGCCCTACGCTTTCCGGGTCGCCGCCGTCAGTTGGACGAAGTCGCCCCCATTTTGTGTCTCCCTCGCCCCATGCACACCCGAAGCACCAACCGAAGCACCAAGTGGCTCCAAGCTCCAAAGCCAAGCGCGCCACCGGCCGTGGGCCACTGGTCTTGGTCCAACGGGGTTTGCATGTCAAGGAATTTTGATACGGCATGTTTGCGGGTGGACCTCCAGGGTTATGCTACGCTCTCAAAAAAAGATAAAAAAAGAGATGTGATGAAGCATGGTGTTTTGCTGGAACTTTCATGAACTGTCCACCGAACCCCTGAACGAATGGGACGACTTGGGATAAGGTGGGGAACGCAGAAAAGGTCCGTCCACACCGAACCAGAACTGTGAGAACGCCTCGATGACTGCGGTGCCATAAACGACAGAAAAGGAGAACCAAGAAACGAGCCGAACATTCATGGCCACGACCAAAGGAGAACTTAGCTCAAATACAGAGGCTGTTTCAGGCAACTACCCTCTGGAAGGTTTGGAAAATCGAATCAAATAGAGACCCGTCTACCAGGGGCGCGAGTTCGGGGTGTCTTCCCCAAAGACTGACCGATTGACCCACCCAGAAGCGATTGGACCGTGGAGGTCTCTGGGTGCCCGGCATTCATCTCCGCTGCCCATCGAGCACAGGTGGTTGGATCCTGGCGGATGAAGAATAGGCCAAGGTGGGAAGAATGACTGCTAACAATTTTTTGAGGTTGGTCGGGCTGGTAGGGAAAATGATGGACACATGATCATGGAACACAAGTCTATGAAGATGGATAGCAAACAATTCTTGGGGAAGTTCATTGGATTTCAATGGATGTCATATATATATATATAATATATATCTTTTAGATGCATCGTTGTCAGTGTTCGATGATATTCGATATATATAACTTCTTTAAGACTGCCTGGGTCACTTCACCTCACATCTCTTTGAGGCTTCACTTCGGTACCAACTCCCGCTGCGCCGCTCTGCGCCGCCCCTAGGACCCACATCTGCGTGATGTGCCTCTTAAAGGTCTGCGGAGCCGAGCCCCCCAAAAACACTCGAAAGAAAAAGACTGGGTAGCCAAACACTCATGATTCTTGCTGCAACTGAAACTCCTATAGGAATAGAAATAAAAGAACAGCATGGAAAAAAGCACATGCAACTCGCTTGCGACACTCGCCCCGCTTCGCCCCACATCGGCGCACGCACCAAAATCGGGTCGGTGCCACGAAGAGCCCAGAGGCCACGCGTCCGGCGACAGTGCCAGTGGCTGCTAGCATGGAATGCCTCAGAGCTAGACGTTGCAGTGGGATCAGTGATGATGGGATCCTGTGCCAAAGAATCAGGGATCCTGACAGTGCCAGTGGTGTGTGTGTCAGTTGGGATCCTGATGGATCCTGTACTAATTAAGACTCTATACATCTAATGAATTAGTTGGCCATTTCGTGAGGATGAATGTCCATTTAGAGTCAAATCTTGCTGAACACTCAAAATTGGTCCAATGTGACCACCCACGTCAATTGCAACAATAGCCACGAATATCAAAGAACAGCTGAACACCCTCCTTGCTTGCACAGCCAAATCCACACCAAAAGGATTTGAGAACGTTTGAGAACACAAAAATCACCATGTCTATCCAGCATCGTCCGCACTCCAGGGGCTCTAAGATACTCTAAGCCTCCTCGCCCCAACGGGTTCCGCACGCGGCTGTGCCCAAACATCACCACCTGCCCGCAAAAAGGCATCGAATCTGGCCATCACAAAACCATCAGAGGCATCCAGTGACCTGAACTAGGACCCTACAGGGGTACCTATAGGATCCTATAGGATAGTCTATGGGGTTCTTCAATCTCTGCTGGTTCTCCAGGGGATGGGGCATTCTATCGCTGGGTCTTGGTGCGATGGACGCACCAAGATCGATCGCACACGCACACGCCACATCGATCGCCACCAAACACCGAACAGGCTTCGAAGCCCACGGCCCGGTCGAAGGGCCGAAGCCCAACACCTGGGAGACGCCAAGAAAAAGGCACCCGCCCTGTGCTCCGGGTCTCCAAGTATCAAACCTGGATGTCCTAACATGTCCTAACCACTGAGCCTTCTAGCTCTCGAACAGTCCGTCGCAAGACCATGGGCCGTTTCTGGCTCCGAAGTGAAGTCAAAAGACTATATTGTGAGCATCCCCCTGTCAATATTGTGCAGGGGGTCCTGTCATTGATTTTATAGATATGAAATGGTGGGGTTGACCACCCCCTGGCGTATAAAATGACTGTCCAACCAAAATCCAATCTCTATAAAATGAGTGGATTGACTCCCTCAAAAAGGTCAGATAAAAGCATACAGAGGCCGTAATATGAGCAGACATAGTGAATGTTTCAATCACAAATCAAAATTTCAAAATGTTTTGGCTTGTGCAAAATTGCAAAACTGCAAAGCCATGCAAAACCATAAGGAACCTTTAGGTCATCAGATACAAAAAAAGTATAAATACATTCAAAAAGAACAGTGAAAGAATGGAACATACAATTACAACCAAGATCAAACAAGTCAATCTAATAGATTGGGAGTCTTTTTGTAGCTTTTTGCGGGGCGCACCCCACAGAGAGATGAAATATAATTAAACAAAATGAACATATTAGCCAAGAGGGGGTCAACCCTAGTCACTTTATAGAGGTTGGGGTTGCTTGCACCTAGCTCTCCTTAGAAAATGTGTGAACGTGCAAACCCACAAGGAACCTGTAGGTCACCAGCTCCAAAAATACAGAAAAGACCGGGGAAGACCACGAAAGACCATTACAGAAAGGTAAATTTAGTAGATTTGGTGTCGTATCTGGGTGCACACCACACAGAGAGATGAATTATGATGAACATATCGAGCAAAGGGGGGGTCAGCCCTAGCCATTTTATTGAGGTTTGGGGGTATTTGGTGTCTTTTTTGGGGTACACACCACAGAGAGAGAGAAAGAGAGATGACATATGATGAAAATATTCAGCACGGGGGGTCAACCCTAGTCATTTTATAGAGGTTTGGGGTTACTTGCATCTAGCTCTCCTTAGAGCATGCATGAACATGCAAAACCACAAGGAACCTTTAGGTCACCAGCTCCATAAATACAAAAAAAAGATCAGAAAAGACAGGGAAAGACCATGAAACATCATTACAGAAAGGTAACTTTATGTAAATTTAGTAGATTTGGTGTCTTATCTGGGGTGCACACCACACAGAGAGATAAAATATGATGAACATATACAGCAATTCTGAATGCAGTGCTCCCCCTCACCTGTGGGGGTCATATTTCGTTTTATAGGAGCCTTCACCCCCCTCGTTTCATAGAGGATATTGGCAGGAGGATTTGTGAGCCAAAGCGACGCCATCTTCGACCCAACGGATGCTTGCCTTTTCTCATCCTTCAGAACGCATGCTACGGATGAATGTTCGTGGAAAAGCACATCATCATTAGATGAAAAGTCGTGAAAAGTAAAACAGGCGATATCGGTTTGATTTCACGTCAAGCCAGCCCTATGTCCTCCGGCCCGTCAGGACAAACCTGCCGGCCCCAGAGCAAAGAAGGCGCTCGGTGAAGTGGACGGCGCCTAAACTCGGTTTGTTCTTCTTCTCAGCAAAAGCTGCACAGATTGGCCAACGATTTCAACCAGCCCATCGTGGAACGCCGTGTGTTCAACTCGTTTTTCTTTTGGACGTAGCAGCCCGTGTCAATGAAGTCCCGGAAGAAGCCGTTCACCTGGAAAAGGTCCCTCTAAGGGATAACAGGAGCGTTGTAAGGCCTCTCACATGCTACAACAATGTTTTCTCTTCCAATGCTGCAAACACTTCCTATGTGTAAACAGCAAGGACGCTCATGAAACCTGCAACGAAACCTCCAAAAACAGATCGCCATACCATGAACATCGACCTGCAGCACTTATATCATGTCATACTTATATCATCTTATATCGACCCTGCCCACTTTTCTTGCGGGGATGCTGGCATCCAGACGCTATGCCACCAAACGCAGCAAAGTTCTGCCCCGCATACACGACGACCACGGATCACCAAACGAAAAACCCAAGCTGCAGCTTGCCACCACTCCATCGACCTCCATCCCCTGGGCCCTTCCCGCCTCCTCGACAAGTCTTTTGGCCCCATCCTCCTTGGCCAGTTCTTCAGCCAAGGCTTTGGCCTTCTGTTGGATCTCACTGGAGCTCGAGCACAAGCTGATGGCTGCCGCCAGGTCATTGGGAGTGGTGGACTTCATCGATTTCAGCCCTGCCGCGGGTCAAACCGGACCTGGTGATGTGTGCTAAACCAACAGTTGGTCTGGGTTTCTCTGGGAATTATAGTATCTTCCAATTGCAAAATTGCACCATGATTGCTTCAACTGTTTTTGGCATCCTTTGGCCATTTTGTCCCAAGAAATCCAAACAGTTCTTGGTGTTTTTGTTGTATCGGACTTGGGATCATCTTGAAGGGATGAACAGGCGAACCGCGGAAAACACAGGGTACTGGTGGCTTGTGCTTGATGACTTCATCCGATGTCCGATTCCGTCTCCCATCTTCACACCTCTCCTTTCGAAAGCCTAAGATCCACCTAACATCCACCGGGCACTGCCTACACCGATCTGCTTCTGGTTCACCAGCTCGGAATGCACAAACTGATCCATCAGCACGGGCACCACCACCATGGGCTTTCCGCTCATGGCGGCCGCGTACAAGGTCCCAGCACCCCCATGGTGGACGATGACTTGGCAGTGTGGGAAGAGGCGACCGTGGGGCGCTGAATCCATGAAGAGCACCTGCGCCACTCATCCATGACGAGCAGTCGACCGCGCCGTCGGCGGCGATCGCCCGAAAATGGGATCTTGGCGGTGCAATCATCGATTAGAAGAAGAGGTGTTGCTGTTTTTTTCGGTTCCCCCAGCAAGCCAATGGGCCATCAGGCTCGATTCGATCAGTTCGACCCGGAGATCCGTCGGTTCGGTCCGGAATTGAACCTTCTCCTTGCAAAAGGCTTTGAGCTCCTCTGTGTCAGGCTCATTTTCCACATCGTCCGCGGAACACGCCGCCCAGCCACCCAAAAGCACACCCCTCTTGTTGGCTAAGCGCAGCGCGCGCAAGCTTAGGAGGGTCATATACCTGGGAATATCCAGCGATGTTGTTTTGACTGACTGACCTGTGAGCCCTGTTCTTTTTTGAATGGGGAAGCCATGGGAAACCAATCCCCAAAAAAGGTTAAGGGTTATCCGGCTATCCTCTAACTGGGTGGGCTTCAGAATGGTGGAGTCTCCTGGGAAAAGGCAGTGCCTGGCTGTGCCCCTACAGCGCCAACTGTCCACCTCCTAGACATTTGACATTTGAGGATAACAAATGATACGTAACAATAAGGCTGGACACTGGAGACACAAGGCAATGGAAGTACTTGCTGTCTGACTGAGTACAACGAACCGATCTTTGCAAATCAACCAAGAAACTTTCCACTCTCAAAGATCATGGAACCATAGCCCACGTAGACGGGCTCCTCCCCTGCTTGCCGGCAAGTCTTCAGGAAGTCCTCCAAGCGTGTGCACTCCTCTGTGGAGCCGAAGTCGCTACCCACTTGTTCCTCCGGCTGAAAGGCCAAGGGTCCCAAGGAGCGGCACATCCTCGGGGGGACGGAGACCGGTCGGAGCGAATGTGAAGGACGTGTGTCCTCGAGGTCCGAGGGTTTCGTTGGACCCAAAGCGACATCCGATTTCGTCTCTTTTTGGGGGATAAATAATATCTATAGATGGTCTTCTGGCCCCAACCAAGCTACCAAAGAATTTAATGGTTTCGCTACCCACGACTGCACACCTGTTCGGCACTCTCTCCATCAATTTGGCAACCCTCCACACAGTTCCACACCTCTCATGCAAACTCCTGTGTCTGCCAGGGATCGGAGAAAAATCCGGTGGGAAGGGGTGCAATTGATTGCTCACAGCGAAGAACACTGGGAAGTCTGGTGTGCAGCAGCAGTGCTCACAGAACTCTTCCCAGGAGACCACCATCTGCCAGGGCAGATAGAAGGGGAGTCTGCAGGGAAGGCTCATGTATAATGATCCCCAAATAAATAGAAAAGTAGATCCCCACTGATCCCCACTATTCGTGTTGGAAACCATGCCACTATCTATTTGGAGCTCACTATAAAAAGAAACTCCGGCCTATTTAGCATCCTGCAGCTGTGGTCGACTAGAGATTGAGGAAACTACTGTCAGGTTCTGTTCCTGTTCAATGCTATCGATCGGGGGGTTCCACAGTTTCTGGCCGTACAATAGTTGCACCGTAACCACGTCCAACAAAAACGTAAAAACCGGTGAGAGACAACCCAAGCCTCCACCAAGCCTCGGTGGAAGAAACCATTCAACAAGCTTAGGTTGAGGTGATGGGGGGTCTGATGTGAGCCATGAGCCCCAAAAAAGCCGCCAGGGGGGGGGGCTTTGCTGTGCTTTTTCAGGACATCCTCTTAGGGAAAAGTTTCATTGTTGCTGTGTTTGTAGACAGAGCTCATCTTTCCAGGGATGGATCGGATCCTCTCAGACCCACAGGCTTTTGTGTTGTATGATGTTGTATGTACAGATCCCTGTGCTGGCTCTGCCTAAGTTCGTTGCTTGGAAAGCCCTGGGAAGGGCACAGCTGTCGAGGTCTGTGCCACAGAGTCTCACGCTGAGTCACAGTTCTGAGCTGAAGACAGTGTACTTCTAGTCAAGGGAG